AGGAAAGATGAAGGAGCACCTGGGGAGCTGGCAGGAGGAGGGAGACTCAGCTTACCAACCCCACTCAACCCTCTGGGCTCAGCTACCACACTCATTCCGCACATGAAGAAAAACCTGGACATCTGCCCCAGCGTGGAAAAGGGGACAAGCTCAGTGACCCAGTCCCAAATCTGACTTTGCATTAGAATCATGAAAACTTAGTTTGGGGTATTAGCTAATACCCACTAACACACTCTATCTTCACAGGTTCTGATTCAGTAGGAGTAAAATAAGAGTCTGGAATCACAAGCATTTTGTTAACAAAAAACACGAAGGACAACCAGGCGTCAAGAAGAAAAAGAGGCAACTGTGACCAAGCAGCTATGAATGGGAACTGCATGAGACACAGAAGCCCTGCTCTGATGAGTGCCCCTCTCCAAGGTGGAGATGTGGGGGCTAGGGAGACTACTAATCAGCTAGTGACATCAGCTGCCAGCCAACCCCCAGATGAAGATGAGTGGAAAAACTTATACAGCAATAAGCAAGTACAGTTAAGCTAATTTGTGACTACACTTTGGTTACATGATGGCAAAAAGTGGGCCCTCTGAAAATGTGGGTGATCCTGTGCTTTTGCAACATCTTGTTTGAGCTGTGTTTTTCCTTTAGTTATTGGTAACGTAGCTTTTAAGAGATTTGTCTTGGCCAAACTATAATAAAACAGAATTGTGCATACCTAAGCCAATTCCTGGTTGGATGAAGCTGTGTTTTTCCTTTAGTTATTGGTAACGTAGCTTTTAAGAGATTCGTCTTGGCCAAACTATAATAAAACAGAATTGTGCATACCTAAGCCAATTCCTGGTTGGATGATTGATCTTTGTCCTATTTATAAGACAATCATTTCAACCTAGCCACTTTAACATTTTTATCTCATTTTATGCTCATGAGAGTCTCGAGCAATAAAGTTCCCAATTTACAGGCAAGAAAACCGAGGCACCCAAGAATGTGTTGACTTGAGTTTTTGTTTTATGCATAATCACATGGGGGTATAAAGATCATGAATGTGCCATCTGATAATCAATTAATGATCTACAATGATTTTTTATTTTATTCATAATCACATGGGGGTATACAGATCATGAATGTGCCATCTGATAATCAATAAATGATCAACGATAAGGACAGAGTTTCCCTAATATCTAAAATGTGGAGGGAGAATTCAAAGTAGAAATTCTCCTATCTGGTCAAGGAACAGGTGGTCTGATTGCTCAAATACTTTAATGGATCAGGCTCCAGGCAGCTGAGAAGGAAACATGAAAGGTTACCTGTGGAGCTGACAGGAGTTAATAATCTAGAGAATGTAATCTACATCACACTGGAATTAGTAACTTTCAAAAGTTTCCAGCAAGAGAAAATAATTTCACAAAAATTCTACTGAACCTAATTTATAATTAGACAATTTAGAAAGCCCTTCTCTCCCCCAAATAAACTCATTTAAACATTTATTAAATGCCTAGTACCTATAAAGCACTAGACATCGGGGGGGGGGGGGACTACAGACATAAGTAAGCTCTCGACCTTCTGCTTGAGGACTCAGCAATCTGGAGGAGAGATAAGACAAATATACAAACAACTAGACATCAAGCTGAATGCTATTCATAAGAGAGGTATAGACAAATACTATTGGGCTTCTGTGATTATGAAGGTCAACTATAAATCAGTTTGGAGCAAAGTAAAACTGCTGGTTAGAAGATTTCCAGGAAGAATGCAGGGTATTAGTTCTTTCTTTGAACTATAAAATATATATGTAGTTACTTTTCTGAACTACTTCTACCATATCTGGCAAAAGCAAGAATTTCCCAATGACTTAAATTTTTTTTTTCATTCATATTCAAAAAGTGACTTTATTTTCAGGCTCTGTGAACTGTTTTATATTGTGTTAACTCACTTTGGGCAGATGTCACTATTTTGGGGGGGAAAAAGCAATCACCAAATGACACTCAGGAAAATGAATGCAGAGAGGTTTAGTTTTGTGTCACTCATTTGGACAGGCTGTTTGCATTTACAGGACATGGTACCAAGAAAAAAAAGCTTCTTTTACCCTAACCTATAACTTGTCATGGTATTCCATGTAATAACATATCTCAATTCCTAAAGCACTCAGGAGTAAAAGATAGTATGCCATGATTTTCTAAAAGCTTCAGGGCAGCAAAATAGAACAATTAGCAAATTTATTTACTCCACTTTTAAACACTTTTAGCTTTCAAAAAGTTGTATCATAAAGGTCTACCATCTACTTGGCTTCCTACTACGAAATGTAAAATGCACCAATCAAGCAGAGTGAGAGAAGCCTAACCATTTTTACTCTATAAAGGACTGATAATGCAGACACAACTATTTACTAGCTTTCGTATAAAAAATAAACCGAACAATTTGTGAATGCTTCTTTCTGCCACGCTTCTTTCTGGTCTTTTAAAGAAACACTGACACCTCCCTCACCAGCGGGAGGTGAACGCCCGCTCTAACTATATACTGGATGTTAAAGCATCAAAGGTGGAATAACGGCTTTAATGAAAATCACTAACAAGAAAAAGCTAATTCTACTTCATAAAATAAAAAAATAATCTAGATTTGTGTTCTTAAGTATATTTAAAAAGGCAGGTTTCTAGTGAAAAAATTTTGAGCTTTGGAGTCAGAAGACTGGAGACTTATTACAGGTATAAACCTGAGCAAATTACTCAAGTTGTCTGAATTTCAATTTCCTTATCTGTAAAATTCAGTAATTTCACACATATTTATTAAGTACCAAGCAATATTCTAGGTGTCCTGCATACGGCAGTAAACAAATCCTGGTCATGATGGAGCTTACATTCTAATTGTGAGAGTATACAGAAATACACAAAATATGCAGAAGAAAAAAAACTAATTTAAAAACACAGTAGGTCAAATGGTGATGAACCTTATAGAGAAAAATAATGCAGGAAGAAGGTTTCAAAGAATGGTCAGAGAATGGCTCACTCAACAAGAATGTCTCTTTGTCACTTAGACAAAGATATAAAGGAAACGAGGGGGAAAAAACCCTGTAAATATCAGAGGTCTTAAAAGGGAACAGCATGAGCAAAGGCCCTGAGGTAGGAACATGCTTGCTGTAGGAACAATAGGAAAGCCAATAAGAAACCCTTGTAAGGGCTTTGGCTTTTCCTCCGAGTGAAATTGGAAGGTTTGGAACATAAGAGGTATTTGACCTGACTTATATAGTTATATCAGAATAAACATTTACTTCACAGAATTATGTTTGGAGGACCAAATACATGTGAAAGGGTTTGTCTGTTTGTTTTAACAGGAAAGTGATGTACAAATGTAAAACTTTCTTATTATATCCCTAACTTTCCATGTGCCTTTTTTTTTTTTTTTTTTTTTTTTTTTTACATCAGACAGCTTTGCCAAATTTCTTCTGCACAAAACAGTGGTAAATACTAGGAACTTCCTCCATTTCTACTGCACTATACCTAAGGACATAAGGAACTTGGTTTTTTGCTTTTAAATCAAACCATGAAACAATTATATTTCAACATGAAATAAATATGAACAATATGAAAAAGCAATCTCACCACTAATCAAAGAACAATGACAGTCATGAAATGACATGTTCTAAATGAGTGTTTTCCTTTGGCCTGCCCAGAATGGAAAAGGAAGGTTCTAAGTGTCAGGTAAGAGATTCTCCTGTTATCACATTGACCAATCGAACCAAATACTTCGTGGTCAAATTTCTTAATTATTGGTATGTAAAAATGTATACATGGCAAATCTTCACTATGAATTGAAAATAAATGACGTTGCAAATGGTTAAAAATTAAATTATTGAACGAGGTAAACATCTCATGATACTAAGCAGCCCATCATCAAGTCACTTTTTGGAGGCAATCATGGCATGTGAGGAAAACAGTACCAAAGTGAAATGACACCGGAAATGGAAGCTTATGCCCCCCCACCCCAAACCTTGGTCTGCTTCTCTTTTTGTCGTTTTAATTTTATTTTGTCATTTCATCTAATACGTGGCTATCATTACCGCTATCTGAAAATAATTCATATTCCCATCACTAATTTCTACCCTAAACTCCAGTACCACATTGCCAGTTGCTGACTGGACACTGCCATCCGATGTCCTGCCAGCAACAATAATCCCATTTCACTTTTACCGAACCCAAGAGTGCTAAGCACTTTAACTACGTGTATTAATTCATTCCATCTTAAACCACCCTCTGAGGACGTACTATTNCACATTGCCAGTTGCTGACTGGACACTGCCATCCGATGTCCTGCCAGCAACAATAATCCCATTTCACTTTTACCGAACCCAAGAGTGCTAAGCACTTTAACTACGTGTATTAATTCATTCCATCTTAAACCACCCTCTGAGGACGTACTATTCATTGTTATCTCCATCTTACACATGAAAGTTAAATAAGTAGCCCAAAGTCACACATTTAGTAAGAAGGGAACCAGCACTGGAGTCTAGGCCCTGCCACCGGTGCACTTACTCCCTGCTGCACAGCAACAGTGCCCTAGCTCTGAACCTAAATCCAACACACACAAAGCAAAACTCATCATCTACTTTCTCTCAGCTCTCACTGTCCTACTTCAGGTGGAGAGCAACTTAAATTTCAGTCACCTGGCCCCAAAACTCAAGCCATCTCTTAACCCTCCCACAGTCAGTCAGTCCCTGGGGTAACCCGACCTGCCTTCATGCCAAGATCTCACACAGCACGGGCCACACATACCAGGCCCCAGGAAAGGCCGCCTCCGGGACGCCAGGGGTTTCGGTGCGCTTTCCCGGGTGCCTTCCCGGGCAGGCATCCGACCTCGGCTCTCTGCACCCCGGAGGGAACCTCCACCGCCGCGCCCCGTCCTGCCGCGAGTCCGCCTCGCCCTCCGGCAGCCAGCCCCGCAGCTCCACGGGCCTCGCTCCACCTCGCCCTCGTCTCCCCACCCCTGGGCGCTCAACAAACAGATGCAGCCTTTACCTGCTCCTCTGCTTCCGCCATGGTGCCGCCGGAGAGTCACATGACAGACCCGGAAATAACCGAAACCAGACACTGTCCCGGGGCCTGCCGGGAAATGTAGTTTCAGCCGCACCTGAGCCTAGAGGTCTCTTCCAGCCGCTGAATCAGCTGGGGCCCCTTTCTGCTTCCGACTCTCCAAGCTCGGTGAAGGGCTGCTTTGGAGAATCTATACGTAACCATCGTTAATGCTATGATTTATTTTATTGTAATTCTTGTTTCTGTGATTATTATAGCATTTATTGAGCACTTGATAGATGAATTATCGCATTTAACACTCCCAGCAATTCCCGCTATTATCCCTCTTTATAGATGAGAACACGTAACTCAGAAACCAGTTACTAAAAGGCAGAACTAGGATTGGAATTTGGCCCTGTCAAATGATTTTTGTTGTGATTGCCAAACGCTGCTTACTCTAAAAGTGTTCTCACCTTTGTTTTTTTTAAGCATAGTAAACGAATATAAAGCAGTCTTTGCGGTAGAGAACCCGAGAACAGTTTACGCTCCAACAAATATTATTTAATTCCTACTGCTTGCTAATTTAAGTTCACATCTTCTAGCATGTGAACACTGGAATTTTTTAACATCTCTGTTGTATAAATTATTTGTTAAACTTTTGTTGAGTGTATTCTATAGGTAAATATTCAGGATGGAATATAAACTTGTCCTTGATAAAATCTGTAAAATCACTGTATTACTTCCATCCTTCAGAATGACTGATCCCTTCTCCATGTTTCTGGGCATTGTGAACTCTTCTTCCTAATCCTCAGGACTCTGCAGTATCTTGTCCAAAGATAGGCATTTTCTTCTTTCCATTGTCTTGAGCAGCTGGTAAGTAGCTGAGGGCCTCACAAACGGCAGCATGTGGTGGACGCCTCAGTGCCCTTTCTGACTCCCTGTGCCGCCCTAACTCTGGCCTACGAGGAACTCATGGACTCAGCTCCCTGTGCCTCCCTGAGTCTCTAGCTGTAACTTTCTCAGCTCAATGGCCCAGCAGCCAGGGCACTGTCATCTCTGAGACACTTGTCTTCTCCCAAGGGACTGAGCAGCCTTAATTCCATCCTCTTCTTCCAAGCCTTGCTGGAGTTCATCTTCCAGTCTGCTGATCACTCAGACACAGGGAATGAAGACAGACCAACCCCAAAGCATTTAGATATCCATTGGCAAGCACCCAATGTCCTAAATGCAAACCTGTTTAATCCAAGAGTTTCTAAGATATCTTGCAAAGCAGCCCAGAACCAAATATTGCTCATGATGGACTCAAAGACCCAGAAAGAC